AAAATTTAGAAAATATCCGTGTGTCTCCTCTAATTACCATTTATCTGTGCAGTCAAATGCTTGAAATGCTTTGCTTCCTTAGCTTGGCTTCACTGAAGAACTGGTGTAAAGTAGTACTAATTAGGAATTATTTATTGATGGTTTATTAGCATACTCTTGTTGCTTACTGTTGTATTCCATTTTTATGAACAATTTCTCAGGACTTTTCAGGAAATTAATAGTCAGAGGCAGACCACACCCCCACAAAAACCATTTTTCTGTTTATATGGGTGTTATGACAATGTTTACAAAGGTTTGGAGTATTTTCTGATATAATCTGTTTACTCTCTGAGCCTCTTCAGTAAGAACATCTGTAATGAACTATTAAAACGTTTACAGACCCGAATTGGAAACATTCCATTTTGGAAATGCTATTTTTATAACTAAAAATGAATGAATAAATAAATGCCTGATGGAGACTGAAAGCCTAACAGATCATGAAAATTAAGGAAAAAAATTGAGTGCTTATTATTAATGAATGATAAATCTTTTTCTTCCTTTTTCACAAGATTTGGGAAACAGGTCAGAGGGATTAACCTTCAAAACTCCATGCATGGAAGGTGTGCAGCATCTCCCAGATGGGACCCCGGTCAGACACTTTGACGTCCACACCCTTTATGGGTGGTCACAGGCCAAACCTACCTTGGAGTAAGTGGACTTTGCACATTTCCTGCTGCCCCCTAAAATGTCTTACAAATGAATGTTCTGTGTCAACGTTTTTATGGCCAAAACTTCTATGGGTTTTATTTAAGATGCCCGAGAAAGGTTTGTGTAACAATATCTTTGATTCTCCGGTTGGAAGTTGATTTTATTCCAGTCACGTCACAGGGACATCCCAAGTGGTTCAGGAGGGGTTGGGGGAAGCCTGAGCTGCAGGAGAAGGGGAGGTGGGTACTGGGCAGGTCTGAGCTGGAGCTTTTCTTCCATGATTTCACTGCAATAAAAGGGGAAAAAAATCCCACCCCCACCTCACAGAGCTGCAGCCACGTTCCTGGCTGTCTCAGGACAAGCAGGCCAAGACTTTATTTCGAGTTTAGCAGCTTTAAAATCACTGACCCTGAGCAGACACAATTTACAGGGTACATTTTAAAGACAGTTCACCCAAGCCTGCTACTAAAGAAACTTACTTCTCACCTGGCTGGGGAGAGGGATTCTTGGTGTATCCTTTCTGAGGGCTTCATCCATATCAGTGATCTGCTGGGCAAGCTGCACTGCTCACCTGCATTACAAAATAAGGTGGCCCCAGCGCTGTTGCTCAGATACTTTAATTTGGATGCAATTACTCTCCATCAAGTGTTTTCTTGCCCCAGCACATTCCAAGGAGGTGTCTGTTCTGAGGGCTCCCCAGGGGGATGCTCTGCATTGCAAAGGAGAGCAGGAGACCCCAAAACTCGGGTGTTCATTCCCAGGGCAGAGCACAGAGCAGGGTTTGGATCAGCAATTGCTCAATGATAGACTCACATAACTACTATAATTAAAATATAATGTACTTATTGTTTCTAGGTTTTGCTGTGATTCCCTGGTTTATTCCTAGGGTTGATGTTGGTTTTCCCTTACACTTTACATCCAGTGAGGAAAAATGAAGGTAGTTTTTCAGAACTGTTAATTTAAGCAGGGCTCACTTATGTTCTCTATTTAAAACAAATCAAGTGCAAGTGAAAAGGGGCAACAGTGACTTTTAAAATGCAAAGTGTGTGCATAAAGCTTTCCTTTCAAGCATTTATTTTCCAGTTCTAAGGCAAATGCCATTATCTGTTCCTCTGAACAGTCCCCCAGCCTGCTTTAGATAAGGTCTGATCTAATGATAATGTATCTGTGCTGTTTCATTTACAATTCCAGGAGTAAGCAAGGAACAGCCTTTCCGTGTAAGTCTAAACGACCTTAAAGCCCTTGGTAACTTTGATATTACCATAAAGAAAGAAAATATCAAGGCTGCCGGAATTTGTGAGTGAGTGGATGTTCTGTTTGGCAGCCTGCCAGCCAATGCAGGAGTGAAATTGCTGACAGGGTAGGAAGGAATGTCTGATCCCTCTGCCGTCAGCCCAGTCCCACGGGATTTGGGCATTGCAAGGGTGAGGAGGGTTGAGCCCTGACTGGGCTCCAGGTGCCCACCAAAGCTGCTCCATCACTGCTCTCCTCGGCTGGACAGAGGAGAGAAAGTGCAAGGAAGGGCTTGTGGATTGTGACAAAGACAGGGAGAGGTCACTCACCAGTTACTGTCACGGGCAAAACAACTGATTGTGGAAATCAGCTTAATTTACAACCAATCCAATCAGAGAGTGTTTGTTTAAGACCAATTCTCAACTCCCCCCATCCTCACTTCTTCCCAGGCACAATTTATTCCCTATTTTCTCTACCTCCTCACCACAGGAGGAGGACAAGGAACAACAGGGATTGTAATCAGTTCGTCATGTGTTGTCCCTTCTGCTCTTTCCTCCTCAGCAGAAGGTCTCTTCCCTCTCTTTGCCTGCTCCAGCGTGTGCTCCTCTCTCCATGGGCCCACAAGTTCCTGCCAGGACCCTGTTCCAGTGCAGGCATCCCATGGGAGCACAACCTCCTTTGGGCATCCTCCTGCTCTGGTGTGGGGTCCTCCCTGGGCTGAGGGTGGATCTCTGCTCCCCCATGGAGCAAAACCCTGCTGTGCCAACCCGAAGGAGCAGACAACAGTTTGACAGTAAGAGGAATATTCCCAGCATTGCTGTGTTTAAAGTATGGACGGAAATGGAGGGAAATATTTCCTTCTCTTTTGAGAAGCACCTTAAGAGGAATCACTGCAATAAATTACACAGCTCCTACAGGTATTCTCACACTGGAAATTTATTGGAAATGTTATCTGCAAAATAGATACCTAGATACATACATATATATATATATATATTTCAATCCCCACTTTATTCTGTGGTAGTAACTGAAGTGAGTCCTTGTGAAACTGAAGAAATGTTGCAATAATAATTTATTTTAATGCTAAAGTATCCAAACAGAAAGATTTCTTTCACACAAACCTCATAAAACACTGTAACTTTAAAGTGAGCATTTTTTTATGTTACCTGGTGTCATTGTGGTTCTCTATCCATTAGACAGAGAAACTTCTGGATGTTGCCTCAATGCTGTTCTTTTGTAATGAGGTTTTTGCAGAGCCAGAGCCCTCACTGGTGAACACAGGAACTGTTTGGGGCTAAATTCAGGCTCTGTGACATTAATAATTATGCTTCATGAATAGAGCCTTGGCTCAGTCCTGGAGCAGAGAGCTGCCCCAGGACACTCAGGTCATGCCCATCCTTGAGCAGTTTGACATGTGACGTTCACTGTCTTTACTTTGGAACTTTTAGCTGCCATTTCCAAAGCATTATTGGCACAGGGAAACCCAGCAGAGCCTGGAAATGTTGGAAAGTATGCTACATAGAATGAAAAACCCTAGGAAAATTCAGTGTTTGTCCTGCAAGAAAAGGTGGCACATTAGTTCATTTAATTACTCCGGTAATTTAAGCGACTTGTGTATCTTTGCTGTAATTGGAGCGTCACTAAAGCTGCAAATCCTATAGAAAAAGTAAGTAAATAGTGCCTTATGAAGCAGCTGTTTAGGCAATTAGAGTGGTGCTTGCACTGGAGAGCAGTGGATTTAATCAGGGTAACTCTCTGATTGGTATTGTTGTTTAGCAGAAAACAACTGGTTTGTCATGTTTGCTTCTAAACCAATCCGTGTTGGACATTTCATATTGACACCTTGTCACCTCGGTGTTTCTGAAGGGACAACAAATCCCTGACTCCTTGTTTTCTGTTCCAATACCTTTTTGTCAACTAAGCTTACAGTGAGAGGTCTAATATTCTTGGCACCTCTATTTTCTCTCTTATGATCCTTCTGCTATGATTCTTGCTACATTATTTTCGACTGTAACTACAAGTTCTCAGGTACTTGAAGTAAGGAATGATGTGCCCTGCAGCACATTGTGGAGCCCTTGGAAAACGAGCAAGTTGGGCCACATTCATATTTTCCCACGTGGGAGCTGGCCTGGGACGGAAAATTGTATTTTAAGCTCATCTTTCCTCCCAGTTCTCATTGTGTGAATCAGAGTGAATTGCCCATCAAAAGCTCGCCTGGACTGGATGTGTACAAGGCAGCCCCTCACCATGACTATATAACCCCAGATATTTCTTTTCAGAGGCTTTTATGTAATAAAACTCATGCAATATCCCTCATGTAAGTCATTTCTTTGTCTCTTTTGAATGGCAGGGCTCTGCATGAGGCCACCCAGGAGCGTGGGATCGTGATCACCCGTTCCACCTACCCCAGCAGCGGGAGGTGGGCAGGGCACTGGCTGGGGGACAACGCGGCCGAGTGGGATCAGCTCGGCAAATCCATCATTGGTGAGGGGCAGGGGAAACGTCTGTGCTCGTGGAATCACTGAGTCAGAAGGGCTTGGGGGTGGGAGGGACCTCCGTCTTCTTGGGCAGAGGCACCTTCCACCAGACCACGTTGTTCCAAGCCCCATCCAACCTGGCCTTGCTTCTCCTTCACCTCCTTGCTTTTAGTATTCGTGTGATTTTAGCTGAGGTCTCAGAATTTGTGTTCTGTTCCTTTTTCATTCTTCCTTTTTAATTCTTCTGTTCCTTTCCTTCTTCCTTCCTTCCTTCCTTCTGCCACAAGTACTGGGAAGTCTTTTATACCCACCACTTTCATGTCCTGTGTCCTGCCACTCTTTTTTTTT